TGGTGAAGAAATGAAGGAGCTTGGGTTCTCTTATATGGGGAAGGAGCCAAATTTACGTTGCTTCCTTTCCCTGTGTAATCGGCTAAGTGGAGTGAGCGGCGATTTGTAGGATTTTACACGCCACTCCCTGATTGGGACAAATTTGGTTCCAGTCGGGGTACACTTTTTGGTCCAACTTTCTCCGAATTGAATTCCGTTTGCACCGTTGCGATCGGACAGTTAAACTCTATCCAACGATATAATTTTTATATTTATTGGTTATACTTTTTCTGACATCATATTTTTGGGTGTTTGACTTTGACAGAGTAAAAATTGATTTAGTTGATCTTTATTCAAAAAGGTTTCTCACATTTAATTCATATCATTTGTTCTAATGATTTATTTCAACAAATCATTTCAATATTCACATTCTAAACAAATTCTTTATTTACTCTTGATTTGGGTCTGTACTCAGGTTCCCAATCAAGACCACACAAAATAGTCCACATATTGGATTTATCTCTAAGAGACTTATCCAGATTTTGATATTAGATGTCAAAACAAATTTCATATCGGCCCAAATCCCAACATTAATTTATTTTAATCAGAACAATTGTGATTAATTGATTATTTATTCATTAATAATTTTAGGGTATGTTTTGGGGCGTTACAACATTACACTATATTATCCAGCCCTCTTTGCCCCCTATACCAGCCAAAAATATCACCCTCAAAATCCCCCACATATCTCATTAATATCACCCTTTATTCCCATAGCATATTACACCCATATATGGCCGAAACCCATCCCTCCATAACCCATCACAACCCTTTGAAATTCATTCCACAAAAGGACAAGGCAAATGAATGTGTTTGTGATTTGAATTAGGAAAGAACTTAGCATTTTCTTTCCCATTTTTTCTTGTTTAAATTTTGTCCTAGGGCCTCATTTGTAAGCAGCTTGTAATCCTTATTTTCATTAGTAATACACTGTGTGTGTTTGCTATTTTAAATCCTAATTTCTATATCTTAAGGTTGGTTCCCTTAAGTGTGAGTGTTAGGTTCTAGATATTTAATTAAGTGCGTAATATCTTAATTGAATTCTAGACTCGGGACCCCAAGTAAGGATAAGAGTGTGTTATATCTCTTAAAACCAACTTGGTTTTATCCCTTCCCCCTTATTCTTTCCCCCAGTTTCGGCCCTCCCATAAACAAACCAAACAACCACCTCTTTTCCCATAACTCTACATCCATAAATCATCCCAAATTAAACTCCTCTTCCTCCTCCTATATTTCGGCCACTCCCCCCTTTCCCCTTTTTCACATAGGCTTGGATATATCATTTGGTATCAGAGCTTGTTGTTGAACATCTCTAAGGACCTATAACACACTTCCCTTCCTCTTCTCTTTGCCCTTCCTTTTTTCGGCCAGAATCACCACTCCTCCTCCCCTCATTTTTTTCATCACCATGTCAAACCAATCCCAAACCCTCACCAATGAAGAGCTTCAAGCCTCCAACGCTGCACTAAAAGCTCAAGTTGAGTACTTAGCAAAACAAGTGGCTCAACTCACCAAAATGAAGCTGAAGATGATGGACACCCCCGAAGAAAGTGATGAAGAACAGGAGCTGGAAACACACCCTAAGGAAGATTCCAACACCAACACTGGAGGCAGCGTTCATGAGAAAGGAGCCACAGACTTCAAGGTCGACCTTCCGACCTTTGAAGACAAGAACGACCCCGATGAGTTTCTAGAATGGCTCGAGACAATTGAGCGTGTCTTTGATTTCAAAGACGTGCCTGAAGACAAGAAAGTGAAGCTTGTTGCCCTTAAGCTTCGAAAATATGCATCAACGTGGTGGACCAACACCTCCACCAAAAGAAGGCATGAAGGGAAGGCTCCCGTAAAGACGTGGCTAAAGATGCGTGCCTTGATGAAGAAGAAGTTCTTACCCAAACAATATGTGAGGGATAACTTCGCCCGGTTACAACAACTAAGGCAAGGCACCCGGACAGTGGAGGACTATACCCGGGAGTTTGAAGAGCTTTTGATGAGGTGTGACCTCCAAGAATATGACTCTCAAACGTTGGTCCGTTATTTTTTTGGGCTTAACACCCAAATTGCCAACGTGGTGGAGTTACAAACCTACGACACCTTTGAGGAACTTTCCAAACTAGCTCTTAAGGTTGAGTCTCAACTTAAGAGAAACAAAACCCCTTTTGGCCATCCCCCTCCCTTCACAAAAAACACACAAACCACACCACGTACCACCCCCTATGCCACGGCCCAAACCCCCTCCTCTAAACCCAACTCCATCCCTTCCACTTCTAATAACCCACCACCCCAAAAAACCAACCTACCCAACACCGGAGCTCCTAAATGCTTCCGTTGTCAAGGCATAGGTCATTATGCCAACGAATGTGCAAATAACAAGATTATGGCCATTGTGGAGTACGAAGAGGAAGGAGACAACCCCTCTTGGGTTGATGAAGTAGCGGAAGAAGAAGAATGTCTTGGAGCCGATGAAGGCGAGCTCTTAGTCATTCGGAGAGCATTGAGCAACTTGGCTGTCCCGGATGAAAAATTGCAACGGGAGAACATCTTCCATACCCGTTGTACCGTGCAAAAGAAGGTGTGTTCACTAATCGTGGACAGCGGGAGTTGCACCAACGTCGCATCAAAGACGTTGGTAGAAAAGGTAAAGTTGAAGGCCTCACCAAACCCTCGGCCTTATACCATCCAGTGGCTAAATCATGGTAAAGGATTACACGTGGATTCCTGAACTCTAGTTTCCTTGAGTATAGGAAAAAGCTATGTGGATGACATATGGTGCGACATCATCCCGATGGATGCGTGTCATATCTTGTTGGGACGACCATGGTTATTTGATAGAAGGGTAATTCACGATGGTTACACCAACATGTACTCCTTCTTGGTCAACAAAAAGAAGGTCACCCTCACCCCTCTTCCCCCTACAACAACCACGGCCTCACCCCCTCAAAAAGAAGAGCCCCCTATCCTACTCTTCACCATATTAAAAGCTGAACAACATGAACTCCAAAGCCAAAAAGACCTCATCCTCTTTGAAGAAGATGAAGCTGAACCCCTACCCCCATCCGAACCAATCCACCACCTTGCCCAGCCCATACTTAGCCAATTCTCATATGTCTTTCCCGAAGACATTCCCCACGGTCTTCCTCCTAAGCGAGACATCCAACACAAAATTGACCTTATCTCAGGGGCTGCCCTACCCAATAAACCAGCATACCGAATGAATCCCGAAGAAACCAAGGAGATTCAAAGACAAGTTGATGAGTTGATAACCAAGGGATTCGTAAGGGAGAGTTTGAGTCCTTGTGCTGTCCCGGCCCTTTTGGTGCCAAAGAAAAATGGTACATGGCGTATTTGTTGTGATAGCCGATCCATAAACAAGATTACCATCAATTATAGGTATCCCATACCTAGACTTGAGGACATGCTGGACGAGCTTCACGGTTCCAAGGTGTTCTCGAAAATCGATCTACGGAGTGGCTATCATCAAATTCGAATTTATGAAGGAGATGAGTGGAAGACAGCCTTCAAAACTAAGTTCGGGTTGTACGAATGGTTAGTCATGCCATTCGGCCTCACGAATGCACCCAGCACCTTTATGAGATTGATGAATCAAGGTTTGAAGCCTTTCCTCGGTCATTTTGTCGTTGTTTACTTTGACGACATCTTGATCTACAGTCGCAACAAAGAGGAGCATGTTAATCACCTCACTTTGGTGATTAATAAATTGGATGAAGAGAAGCTGTACGGGAACTTGGAGAAAAGCCAATTTTTCTCCCAAGAAACGGAGTTCTTAGGGTGTTACATTTCAAGTGGAGGAATTCGGGTTGATGAAAAGAAGACTCGAGCTATTCAAGATTGGCCCGTACCAACCACCATGCAGCAAGTTAGAAGTTTTCACGGACTCGCCTCATTCTACCGGAGATTCGTGAAGGATTTCAGTACCATCACGGCTCCCCTCACCGACCTCACAAAGAATCAGCGTTTTGAATGGAATTTGAAGGCGCAGCAAGCTTTCGAAACTGTTGTACCCAAGCTCCGGGATTAGGCTTAAGTTTAAGAACAAACTCCTTAAATTGCAGGGAAGGGGGAATAGTCGATTATTCAAGTATGAAAATCGACTATCAGATGGTTCAGTTTCTGGGGAGAAGTTAAAGGAGTTTCAGAGGCGATAGATAATCGATTGACAGGGAGGTGATAATCGACTATTGTGGGCTGCAGATTTTCTAGGGAAGCTGATAATCGATTGTCGTAGAATGATAATCGATTACAGAAGGATGCGGGAATTTTATGAAGGATAGATAATCGATTGTCAATAGTGATAATCGATTATCTAGCGGCTCGGGAAAGGAAAAGAAGTATTTTTTTGGGGAAGGGGAACAAACCAAGTTGGTGTTTAGAGATATCACACACCCTTATCTTAACTTGGGGTTGAGTCTAACATTCAAATAAGATATTACGCACTTATTTAAATAACTAGAACCTAAAACTCACACTCAAGAGAACAACTCTTAAGATATAGGATTAGGAATTTGAAATGAAACACACAAGTGAATCACTCTTATTTAAAATGGAATACAATGTGCCCTTACAAAGCTCAGGGATGAGCTTATATAGAAAGATAAAAGAGAGACTACCAAGTCTCTTGTTCACAAATTAAATGAAATAATGGCCACTTGTGGATGTCCCTTTGGTGGGGAGAAAATTAGGGCTGTGGGTGCCTGTAGGACAGGATTCTTGGCCACTAATGGTGGGAAGGAATATGTGAACATTACTCATTATTTGATTGGTTTTTGGTGGGGTGTTCTTGGGCAGGAGAATGGGTTAATGGGGAAAATGGGCTGGCTATTTTGGAGGTATTTTCTGGGCAGGAAATGGGGGGAACAAAGAGGGGTTGAAGGGTGTGGGTCAATGTGTCTTGGATTTTAGTGATTGTTTGCTCAGCCTAGTTGGGGAAGCAAAGTGTGGTTATGGCATGGGTTTGGGCTGGGTGTTTTTGGCCCGGGGTGAAGGAAAAATAAATGTAGTTTTGGGCTAGCTTTTGGATACTTTGGGACTTGGTTTTGGAGTGAGGGAGACTTGGTTTTAGATGGGTGTTGGGCTCAGGGATATTATGGCTATGTTGTGGGTTTTATAACTGATAAGTTCGGCCCAAAAGGGGTCGTAACACTTAGCCATTATTCCATTAATTTGTTTAACGACTTTACAGGCGTTGGTAGTCACCCGGGGTATATCATCCTCCCCTTCTTCAGAAGAGTTTGTCCTCAAACTCGGATGTTCTTCAGGCTCGAAATATGGGCTGATGTCCTTGATGTTGAATGTGGCTGATACTCCATTGTCTCCTGGAAGGTTGATTTTGAAAGCATTATCGTTCACCTTCTCCAAAATCTCAAAAGGTCCATCAACTCTTGGTAATAGCTTCGACTTGCGTTTTGTCGGAAAACGCTATTTCCAGAGACGAATCCATACAAGATCGCCCGGTTGAAAGTGAGTGTCCATCCGTCCTTTGTTGATGCGTGCACTTACTCTCTCGTTCATAGCTTCAATTATGTCCCGGACCTTGTTGTGTAGGTCTTGAATCGCCTTAGATCTCTCGCCCGCTTCCCAACTATATTTGGTATCCGTTATGATTGTTGAAACACGGGTTTATCACGTTTTCGTACTAAAGCCGCGTTCGTTGTCATGACAGGTTTTGATAATGCCAAACCGCCGTGAACGAGACAAGTCATTGAATATACAAGGAGAGAACCAAAGATGATAAGAAAGAGAACAAGAGCCAAAAAAAGACCAATAACGAAGACCTTAGTCTTAACATCGTTGAGTCTGTCTTTATTGTTATCAAGACTGACCCAATCTTTACACCTTGGCTCTTTAGGCTAAAATTCTTTCCAATGCATTTCACACATCATAAAAATTATTTTCAAAGATGTTTAAAACATTAAAAACACTTGGTGTTCGCCCAAACCAAAAACCAAGCCATCCGGCGTTCGGGTTTTAGAAACTGGCATTCGGCATTCGGTTTTCGGCGTTGGTTTTTGGGGTCCGAACTAACCAAATGGTTTTCAACTTTTTATGACTGGTTTTTACTTCTGGGCATATTTAAATAGTTTTTCATAAAAAATACTTCAAAAACCACCTTTCGTTTTTTGTCGTTTGATAAAAACCATGTGAAACGGCATTAACTTAGCTAGCCGTGGTTTTTACTTAAATGAAGTGGTTTTCAAGTCTTTTTGTGTGGGAATTGTTTTTGAATGAATTTAAATGGTTCTCCAATCAAAACATCATGAAAACCACCTTTCGGTTTTGTCTTTTGGTGAAAACCACCCGTGTACGGTGTTGACTTGGTCAACCATGGTTTTTACCTTAACGACGTGGTTTTCAACTTAAAAAGCTTGTTTTGACATCAAAAAACATTAAATAAGTGTTTTATATACTTAGTTTTTACTTTGGAGAACTTTGCATATTTCGGTCGGGTTTCAGCGCCGGTCAGCTAGGCCATGGTTCTGGGCTAGCCATCTACCCAGCGATGGTAGATTTCACCCATGCATGGGTAAGTGATCCCGGGATTCCAGAATCATGCCACCTAGCGATGGGAAGATCTTCCCATCGATGGGTAAGCAGTCCCTCAACGAAACTGATTTCCAGAACCATGCCAAACAGCGATGGGAAGTTCTACCCATCGCTGTTAAAGCCTTGGTGCAACATTACCACAAGGCAGAATGCCCTTACCCAGCGATGGGAAGCTTTACCCATCGATGGGAACCCAGCGATGGGAAGGCTTAACCATCGATGGTTAGGCATGACCGTTGCGAGTCATTTAAGGCTGATTCTTTCGTTATTTGAAAGTCAACCTCCCACCCAGCGATGGGAAGCATCTACCCATCGATGGGTAGGTAACCGTTGGCTTCAAAACTGAAGGAAAATTGGCTTACCAGCGATGGGTAAGTTCCAAACATCGATGGGAAGCCAAATTTATTCAATCCCATAAATCAAGCCAATCACCCCTTTAATGTATTGGTCCGTTGGAGCCTATTTTGGCACTATAAAAAGGGGTGTTTGGGTCTGCTTTTCTCATCAATTCACTTCACTTTACTCATATTATCATTGCATCCAAACAACATTATTTTCCATAGCTTTCTAGAGCCAATTTGTGAAGTTTGAGTTGTTGAGCGTATATAGTTTACTCAACATCTACTCTTAAAGAGAGTCTTGTTCTTGAGTGTTCTTAGTGTTGTAAACACGTTTAGGGAAGCTTGTTTCCCTTGGTTGTATGAAGGAAAGGTATTTTCCTTCGGGTTGAAGTCTTGGAGTGCGGTATCTCCAAGCAAGTGTATTGAGACTCGTGGGACTCGAGTTCACAGGTTGTAACGGTTTGTTAAGCACCCGTAAGCTTAACGTAAGTAGTGTAGCTCGAGAGAGTCTCTAGGGAGGCTGGATTAGCCACAAGTTATGGTGAACCAGGGTAAATCTTGGTGTGCTCCCTTTACTCCTTTTTATTCCGCTCTTTACTTTATCCCTGCGATTTTTATTCCGCGAAAATTTATAAACATTCTCGTGCCTCACTATTCACCCCCCCTCTTGTGAAGGGCACTTATTCTAACAATTGGTATCGGAGCCTAACTCTCTACAAGCCTTAACAAGTTAAGAGAACGATCTATATTTTTTTTGTTGAGAATGTCGTTTGCAGGATTAAGTGAAGGACACTCCACCGTTAGACCTCCACTCTTCGATGGAACAAACTACACCTATTGGAAGGAACGAATGAGGATTTACATTCGGTCAATCAACTTCCAACTATGGTTAATCATCAAAAACGGTGAGACGATGCCAATGAAAAAGGTTGGTGAAACCACCATCCCAAAGAAGGAGGAAGAATATGGTGCTGAAGACATCAAGAAGGTAGAAGCTTTTGAAAAAGCTAAACACATGATTTTTTGTGCAATTAATCTGGATGACTACCGTAAAATTTCTTCTTGCTCCACCGCAAAAGAAATGTGGGATAAGCTTGAAGTGACATACGAAGGTACGCCTCAAGTCCATGAAGCTAAAATTGATTTTCTAACCCATGAATATGAGTTGTTTAAAATGAAGGAAATTGAAAGCGTTGATCAAATGTTCGACCAATTTTTAAAGATCATCAACGATCTCCATGTCCTTGGTAAAACATACTCGAACAAAGATCTTGTTCAAAAAATCCTTCGGAGCCTAACACCGGAATGGCGTTCAAAAGCCAATGCCATATATGAGTCGATTGGTAACACCAATGTCACCATCGATGGTCTTCGAGGTAATCTTAAAACTTATGAATCCACTATTCTTAAACCTTCTCTTGACAAGTGTCCCGGTCTCGCTCTCAAAGCCTCATCCTCAAAAAGGGTAGAGGTAAGTGACTCCGATAGCGATGACCATAATCCTTCTTATAACTTGCTCGAGAAGTTCCAAGAGTTTTTGAAGGAAGAACTTGGGTCCCGAGATTGTAAAAGAAAGGGGGATTTTCCTTGCATGAGGGTTGAGAACTTGGTGCATAGATCTTCCTTAGTTGAGCCAAATATGATGTCGTCCACATAGATCTGAACTAATAGGAGATCTTCTCCATCTTGTAATTTGAACAATGTCTTGTCAATTACTCCTTTGGTAAATCCATTGTCTATAAGAAATTGAGACAATGTATCATACCAAGCTCTTGGTGCTTGTTTGAGTCCATACAGCGCCTTTTTGAGTCTATACACTTGATCTCCCTTAGTGTGTAACTCAAATCCTGGAGGTTGTTCCACATACACTTCTTCCTCTAGGTTTCCGTTGAGAAATGCGCTTTTGACGTCCATTTGATAGACCTTGAAGTCCTTATGAGCAGCAAAGGCTAGAAACAGCCTTATAGCTTCAAGTCTAGCAACTGGAGCGAAGGTTTCATCAAAATCTATACCTTCTTCTTGACAATATCCTTTTGCAACTAACCGGGCCTTGTTTCTGACAACAACGCCGTTTTCATCCATCTTGTTCCGGAAGACCCACTTTGTCCCAATGACATGTTGATGAGTAGGTCTGGGAACAAGTTTCCAGACATCATTTCTGGAAAACTGGTTGAGTTCTTCTTGCATTGCATTGATCCAATCAGAATCAGCTAGAGCTTCTTCAATATTC